GAGAAAATAATGTGATGGAACAGCTGTGGAAGTAAGCTAACAGGAAATGGCTAATAGCAAACATGCATCTACGGCATTATATGAATTAAAACATGCATTACCTGCAACTTTTTCGCCCTCACAAGGTTAGACGCAACTGTTCTGTCACGTTAATGTCTCCGCAAAAACACTGTTGAGTTTTATTTAACTTCCATTGTGTTTTTCTATTTGCTGGTGTTTTCTTGAGTTGCAATTGGTTTGACCTCTCCGGGCCACTGTAGGGTTAGGTATTCACCACAGATTTTTTTTTTTTTTTAAAGTATATACATTTTTTTTTAAATAAAATCATGAAGTGCCCCACGGCTCGACCGCAACACCAGTCACACTTTTTAAACCACAGTAGTATGATTAGCTGCAGTCCACATTAAAAACTTGTGCTACATTTTCTGTCATCTTGTTTGAATTAACTGCCAGTGTTCTGCTCACTATAAGCGTGGCCCAACAAGACTGTGCATGACACCACTTGAAAGTCCACCCCCACCCCCATTACCTAACCAGCTCACTCAAGTTCAGCCCGCTAGGCAGACGTTAGCTTGGCGTAAGATCTGAGAAATCCAAAGTAAATCAGTGTAATCACAGTGGGTTTATAGCCAAGGTTATATCTAGACTGTGCATCTAAATGAACAGCATTGTCCAACGAGTTTGTGACTTAAGCAATTTCCCCCCCTTTTTTTCCCCTATTTTGGAGATCAGCCACAGGGATCAAAGGTTAAAGGAGTTTGGTAGAGCAGAAAATTTCAGTGTGGGGATTATCCTGCAGGAGTGAGATGATTCCATTGTGTAAAATCCACTTTAAACCAGCTAAATGAAATCCCTGTCATCTTGAGGAGTGGTGCCGTGTTCACGTCTTTGCACAGTCACCATCAGATTGAGTGAAATTGCACAACACCTTTGTTTTAATAAGTCTGCAGTCACCATGAGGAACCAGCTGGCTCTCAGCGCAACCAGATTAAAAGATTTACATCTACTGAAGTGTCGGTCTCTGACATTTTAGATTGCAAATGCTATCTAAATGCTATCAAGTATTTTGTTTTTAAATAATTTACTTCCATCAAATGTTTATGGCTTAACCATTACATGAAGCCAGTTGTTTTTTCCTCTCCCCGTCCACTAAAAACTCTCCCATTGGCAGACTTGTTCTAATTTAGCTTCTATTTATCTTTACGAGCCACTTGCGGAGAAATGTATTTATCAAGGGCTGAGATGAGAATTGTACACAGTCTAAATAGTCCCATCATAGCCGTGTGAAACGGGATGTTTAAACTCTATTGGTGTCATATTCATGACCTGAACCCCGGCCAGTAATAACAGCCACTCAGTGATTTCACAGGAGACATGAACACAAGACGTAGAGGAAAGACTTTTTGTTTGTCTGTAAGTTTATTGTACTTGGGGCAGCTTCTGCAACAGAGCGCGTTTCGGGAGTAAATTGCGATAAAATGACGATGCAAATAATCCGCTGAGATAAGAAACTATTAAATAAATACGAGATGAGAGGGCGGAAAATTGAGGCTAAAATAGAAAGACTCTTCAGGGACAGGGAGGATGTTGGGAGAGAGGGGGCAGAGGACGGCAAAAAGAGAGATTGCACAAAGGCAAAAAAAAGCAAGCAGAACCAGTAGTTACTCTGCTTAAAAAGACTAAACACACCCAAGTCAATTACTACCCATACAAATCACTCACCACAGCATGCAGTCACAATTACAACAGTCACCAACTGTTTGTTACATCAGCTGAGGACGAGCTCGGAAACACGGACACAGACATCAGGAAGGGGGGGGGGGGAGAAATTGGTTTACTGGAACCTTTGTGGAGAGAGGAGTCGGAACGTTACTGGAACTCGGGGAAACAGTTGTTCCACCGAAAGTGCCCTCAGCAGTCCAAATATTCCACACTGCGTGTCTTTTTCTATAGCGTCTTCTGTAAACCATAATATGGGATTAGGCCTTATTTGTTGAGGCTTTAGAGCGACCGAGGAGGTGTGGACCAGGGCACTTAGACACAAAAACCAGAGGACCAGCTGTGATCCTTTGAGGAGGTGCAACGGGTATGCCATTGCATTGTGCCAGGGAGGACTGTGGGTAAGGAAGGGCGTGATCGGCTGCAGAGGAAAACTGTCAGTGTCAAAAGTGAGTCACAAGGGGAAAGTGTTGAGGTTTAAAAGACTGACCAGGTAATTGAAAGAAAGTTGTGATTTTTTTCCCCCCACAGAATTAAAAAAAAAAAAAAGCAAAGTTTATTTCCACAGCATCCTGATCCATAGCAGATGGTGAAGGGAAACAATCAAAGAAAGCTTCCTCGGTGCTCTATTTACAGTTTAGATTAAGTGGGGGTTTTAAATACAATTTTTTGAAAATTTTTAAGTATTAAATAAAAAGCTTAATTTAAAAGAAATGTAAAAAGATTTTATTTTATTTTTTTTTTTACAAAATATACACTTGTAAAGTATCTAAAAGTGTCCCAATTTTAAAAACCACCCCCCCAAAAAAAACCCCATCTTGTCAGCCTTGCTGACTCATATGATTTACAACCAGTTCATAAAAACGTTTACAATAACTGCTCTAAACACTCAGTGTAGTGCAGGAATCTTCAGTCTGTTTGCTCGGTTCTGTCGTTACGATGAGCATCGACGGCCACCAAGAGAACAGCGCCACACACCAAATAGAAAAAAGAAAAAACAACAACAACAAAAAAACTCAGAGGTTTTTTTAAAAAAAAAAAAAAAGGGGGGGGGGGGGGAAGAAAAGAAAAGGGGGAAAAAGATCCCTGCGGTACAGTTTGACAGAGAGTGATCTCCAAGCCAAAAAAGTACCACAGTGAGGAGCTGTGATGAAGAGACGGGAGACAAAAACCAGATGAAGTCACAGGTTTCTATTTAATAGGTCCCACGGGAAGAGCGAGGAGTCATAAAAGTGAGTGAACACATCGCCGAACATGGAAACTTTCAACCCAAGTACGAAAAAGCGCCACAATTGAAGTTTTGTGGTTTCTCCCGTAACAGCGCTCCACACAGGAAAGAAGCGGGGAGAATGATTAACTGTGCGTCGGTAGGATATTCCACTTTAAGCGCTCTGAACCATTCATCTTGGCCCACTCTGTGATTCATTTCCACCTTCATCTGCAACTGCCCTCATGCATCTTAGGCCTCTCATTTAACTTCATCCTGGTAGTTTTTTTCCCCCTGGGGGGGGGGGGTCTTTGTTTAGTCATCTTTATGTGAGGGCTCGACCCGGAGCTGCTCTTCCCCCTCCTGGGAATTCCACAGGTCTGGAGTAATGCTGGAAGGCTCCTCCTCAGCAAACCGATCAGGAATGTATCAACCACGAGGGAGAGGAGGTGGAGGTGTGCTCCACCGGCCATGCAGTGGGAAACACAGCACTCCATTGTTCTCCTACCTTTACATTCCTCTCCTCTCTCCATTTAAAAAAAAATAAATAAATAAAAAAAAAATCACGCCCCCTCCTCTAAACACAGCTTCTCGCTTTTGCATGACCCCTCTCTCTCGCTCATTCCTTCCTGCTTCTCCTCCCTAATCATCTTACCTGCCACTTTCCTGCAGCTAAAAATGATCTACTGACAGAAAACGTAATCGCTTTTAAAACAGCTCTTTGCCACTGGTGGGGGAACTAAATGGGAAAGTAGATCTGTTACAGAGCCACAGGTGGATTTACAACCGCTGCCCCCCAAAATGTCTTTCAGATGTCTATTAGAGGTATTCATACCCGTATACGAGTGATTCAGGTCAGGCATGTGGGTGGGTACGAGCAAGTGTCACGAGCAGCAGAGAATGAGGCTCCCGAGTCTTCAGGTGTTCAGTTATGGAAACGGATCTGAACAGGTCCTTGCATGCCGGGCTGTGCAATATGTTCATATACACTGCTCAAGTCAGACACACACACACCCCACAGTGGAAGCTCAGTAAATCTGTGACAACAGAGGGAGGAGGATCAAGACATGGATGCAGACAGGGGGACATGCAGCCAACTTGCCCGTTCACACATAAGAGGAGGGCTTCAGCGCTCTGTGACGCTTGATATGAACAAAGTGAGTGAGGCTCAAAAAGCTTCCTCCTGCCGCCTCCCACTTCCCCCCCCTCCCCAAACCATCTTTAAAGATGCTAATCCATCACAGTACAGTAGCCTCCCAGCTTCTTTGATCACTTTCAGTCACTCTGACAGCCCTCACCGCAATAATAAAACCCTTCTTTTGCAGGACTTTAGGCACAACTGCACCACAACTACAAAGGGACAGATGTATCACTGGACGACATATCACACTCAAAAGATAACAAGAACAGGTGATAATGAGGTGGCAGGAAATCAACCTGATGCAACATGCTGTAAGCCCTGAACCATGAAAGGGCCATGTGCTTGAGCAAGACTTTAAAATATGTGATTTGAAAGCTGAGCGTGACTCCAACCCAAAGGTTTCTTTATTTAAAAGATGTTTTCAAATATTTTTTGTTACCAAATGAGATTCACCAGCGATGAAAAATGAATACGTCAAGTACAACCTGACTCGAAACCTCTTCTCCCTCCATATCACAAAGGCTTTAAAGTGCTTCACATGACTCTTTCCTTAGAACTGCACATGTTAGTCATAGTGAAACCCAAAAACACTTTTCCTAATTTTACAGGTATCAGTTCAAGGTCAGGGATAATGCCAGGGCATGTACAAGTAGGCCTCAACATTCCTTCCATTGCAAAAAAAGAACCATGTTAGCCAAAGGCAGAATTCCACTGAGTTACAATAATAATACCCATCATGAAGATCCACACTCTGCCATCCAGGCCTGTTTTACACCCCGTGGCAATTAAAATAAAGGTAAATAGTGACTAATGCTGGATGGGTGCTTTAAAAAGCACACTCTCCTGGGAAGCAAATCCTGGTTTACACCCAGACGAAGCGCCTGTAGACAGAAAGACTTTAAGAATTCCAGAGACTCAATCGCATGTGCTCACCTTGACATGCATCTTTGACCTCTTCGTAGCCCGGTTTGCACTGGCACTGTCCGACCTGCACCGCCCACTTCCCTTCCTCAGTGCAGTAGATGCGAGGTGACTCCTCACTGGCTGCGTTATCCACGCATACCCCGCTCACTTTCGTAAGTGGCTGGTTCTCACCTCCGGCCACCGTCTCAGGGAACGTGGCGAGATTCTGTACGGTGCCCGGGCAGGTTTTGTAGAAGACCCTGACGGAGAGAAGAGCGATGCAGGCTCCGATGTCTTGAAAGGCCAAGTAGAAACCTTTTCGAGACAGCCCGTCCACCACTCGCGTCTCTGTGTTGATGTGCATTTCATTTTTGCCGGTGATCTCATCCGGAGCTATGGTGGCCACCTTCTTAAACTGGCTCTTGCGGAAGGTAGTGCCCACATCTGCATCCGATTCAGACGTATAGAGGTTGAAGGTTTCCTTGCATACTAATGAGGCTCCGTCGAAAGAGTTGCAGTCGCGTACGATAAACTTAAGTTCCACAAAAACCCGCGAGGCCAATGGATGCCGCTGGATGAAGGTGGTGCGCAGCCAGTTGTCCTGCTCACGCTCCTCCACGTTGCAGATGGAGTACGTGTAGAACTGAGAGCCATTTAGAGTCCTCTGGACAACCTCCCACTAAAGAATAAGAGCACACACACACACAAGCGAAAAAGGTTAAGAGGTACGAACACCGAGCCCTGGGCAGCCCATAAGCATGTGCAAACCAAAACTACCAAGACAGCAAAGGAAAAAGGCTCCATTGCACTCCTCATAAGGGTTCAGATATTGTACTACTGTATGAACGGTATGAGTGTGTGTCAGGGAAGCCATGCTCCACAAATTGCTAATTACTCCCTGTGAATATTTTTACAGCTTCACAGCAATAACACATTTCTGGGACATGGAAAACTGCACTTTACGAGCAGCATAACAATACAGCAAACCTCAGGGGCTGATGAGCATGAGCATTTCTGACATTGCAAAGATACCAAATTATTTCCAATTCTTTCTTTTTTTTTCCTCCCCCCTCTGGCTACTTGTTGGCATGTTCCCCAAATAGCTTTGCTGCTTGCATATTAAATGGTGCCACAAATATTTCTGGTGAAAAAAAAAGTCACAGCAAGTTTTAACAAAACCTTGGCTCCTGAGAAACAACTGGCCCCACGGAGACAGAGGCTGTGGTTTAGTCTCTGCATGTAGCCCCTGTCCTATTAATTAAAAAATAAAAAAAATGTGCTTAGCTGGCCGATTGTGTGGCTGTGCGTATAAACTAAATGTGCAGCAGCAGAACCCACACATCTATAAAACAGCTGGTGAACATTTTTCACAATTTTTACGAGGGGCCCTTAAAACACCTGAGGCTGATTAATGAAAAAGTGAAACTTATGTAAAGGTTTTATTTCTTTTCTTCTTTTTTCTCTTCAAGAAATTTGGGTGAGCCATCACAAACACGCTTGCACATGCCTTTGACTCATCAGTACATGAAATGAAGCCATTTGCTGTGAATTTGCATGAGCCTGACTGGTCAATTACTGTGAAACTGCAGCCCAATCGGAAGGCATTATATGTTTCTAGTACACTGGTGTAATAATGTGCTGGGCACTGCACTAAATGTAGACGTTTACGTTTTCCCCTCCATCCTAAACCCATCCTCTCCCAAAAAAAAAAAAAAAAAAAAAAAAATAGAGAGGCACCACATGCTGCAAACTTTAAAAGTTAATTGCTCTCTGACATACAATTCTGGAGCTGAAGCCTTCAAACCACAAGAAGCCGCAAGTATTCCCAGTTGAGCGCTAGCAGCTATTCTGTCTGCCTAAGCTTTTGGTATAGTCCAGACATGCTTGGATGCAGTTCCTGATAGGATCCTGCTACTCTATCGCATATAAGGTTAACTGATTTTCATAAAAAAAAAACTAAACATACACACACAGCAGCCGCTCCACATCTAACCACAGGAGTCAAATAGTCAAATGTCATCAAATTGGAGGGTCTACATTCAGCTGGAGCCTTTCCGTGCATTTTCTCCACGCTGATGTGTCTTTAAGGCAAATTCCAACAGGAAACGTGGGAGCTGGAGGAGAAACCAGAAGCAGAGCTTTACTCACCCCGGTCTTCTCTCCCTGATCTAAGGGCCAAGTCAGCCAGCCCAGTTCATCTCCTGACGCCCTCATGTCCAAAAGCATTTCTGTGGAGACACGAGAACAATTTCAGTAAGTGAGAATGCACCTATTTTAAAATATATATTTATCCAGAAAACATTTTTGTTTGGTTTGAAATAAGTAAAAATATTAGACTTTTGATTCCTCAGAAGAGATATCTGTAAATAAGAATCCATGAATAAGTTGGAGTTTTGCTCTTAGACTAAAGAAGCGATCAGATTTTAGTTAAATAAGAGCGGCAGCTTGCTGCATGAATATTAGACGTTTCATTTGCCACATGCCAGCAAACTTTGATATACTCGAGTCAGCGTGTTGAAATAATTATCATTTCAACACGAGTCAGCGTGTTGAAATCTATTATTCCTCTTTTAATATAGAGGAGTGGGAGGGGGGGGAAAATCACTCAAATTGTGGCAGATTTCACCTGCTGGTGCGACGTGGTTTACTGCAGCGCACACGAAGTCTCAGCATTGCTGATGGTTAATAATCAAACCAAACTCCGCGAAGTTCTTTTTTTTATCCAAATAAAACATTGAAATAAAGAAAGACAGAGCAGTGCAGGACTGTCATAAAGCATGAAGAATATTTCCTGGTTGTTAAAACAACAACTTTTAAGTTGGTGTCCCGCATGGCACGCGTGCTTTCCTTAAGCAAAATCTCACAGACAGATTTAATGCAACCAGGTTTTTAAATGATTTGCTTAAAAAAAAAAAGTCACTCACCTTCTTTAGTTTGTATTGTAATAAATATGCCACTGAGAAGTACGTATGAAAACAAATAACGTTTGATTCCACCAAAGAAATCCATTTGGAAAAACTTTTCCTTCCTCTCTCCGCTGCTGGGCTTGGCTGGGACTCTGAGAGGTGAGCACAGCTCGCTGCAGCTCATTCACAAACAGCACGACACGTCACGGACTCCGCCCGATGGAATGTGTGTTTGTGTGAGTGTGCGTGCATGGTGTGTTTAGCGTTTCCAGAGGTGGGAGTGAATGGCAGTGGGGTGGTGAGGCACTTAGGGACTGTTGGACATTTCATAATTACAAACGAACCATCACGAACATCTCGAAGAGCTTATCATAGTTAGTACAGCCTGGTGCAAGTTTCCAGAGAAAACCTGAAATATTTCTGTGTGCAATCAACCTCAAATTGCACTAAAAGGGCAAAGCACTGTTAGCCTCTGGGAGAGAGGAGGGTTAGAGGACAGAACTATTACCCTCCAATGAAAATTACATTAGTAATAATTTTTTTAACATTTCCTAATGCTGTTAAAAAAACCCCAGAGCATCCAAGTTTGCATTATTGAAAGTTACATTATTTTACTTTGCACACACACAAAAAAATAAATCACAAAACTCCCCAAACCTATCAGGGTCAAAATAGATGCTAATAGCCAGCTTTTTAAAAAAACAAAAAACAAAAAAACAACACATGTCTGCTGAGCAATTCCAGCTCCTTGTTCTTTGACGAATCTCTCAAGCTTCTCCAGATTTGATGGTCTTCAGGCACGGATCTTGATCTTCAGTTCATCTCACAGATTTCCAAAGGGATTCGAGTCAGGGCTTTGTGCAGGCCAGTCAGCAACGTTTACTTTGGTCTTCTGGATGTAGTTTTTCACAAGGAGCGATGTATGTTTTGTGAGTGAAAACAAAGTGATGACCCAGACCCAGGATTGCTGCTGCCTGCTGGAGGTTTTCTTTTAAATTCAAAATCTCAGTGAGTCTTCACACACACACACACACACACACACACACACACACACACACACACACACACACACACACACTTTAAATCTCCTCATTTGTAGACCAAAGAATTCTTCATGCTCTGTTTGCCTTGTAGTAAATTATGAACCATCAGCCATCCAGTTTTCATGGAAAAGAAGCTCATTTTACCGGGGCCACTTGAAGGCATCATTGGGTTGGTTATAGTTTTACCTACCTGGCTATCAAGCAGCCTGCATGGCACCATTTGCATGGAAATATTGATTTAGAATTATTTGCCACACTGAATGGGCGCAAGGAGGAGTGGGAGCCGCTTTACTTGGCGACCTTTGTTCTGTGCATTGCCACATACAGCAGCAGAATCATTGTGACAGGCGGAGAGAGATGTATTCATATCAGCATAATAGCAACTCAGAATACCAGAATTCAAAAGTACAGCTGGCCTACTGATACCCATCATAATTTATGGGAAATATCCCAAAAATGCAGCACCCTGCCAACCCTGGAGATAGACAGTGGTCAAGTTTTGAAGGGAAAAAAAAAGGTTTAATCTTTGTTTTCAGTCTCAGGAGGGTATGTGGGAGTGGGAGTGAGGGAGTCCAGTATGAATATGGGGAATTAGGAAAAGTCCTTTACCTAGCAACTGCTACAGAGTGGAATTCACTGTTGAGCTTTATCTGACCTGCTTTCATTGTTTGTTGCGCACTGTTTCTATGACAAAATGTTGAGAACCGGCTATAGAAACGATAAGTCGCTGCTGCGCTTTACATCTTGCTTCCCACTCCATCTTGCATATCCCAGTCCAGCCCGAGGGCTGTACCTGATTCCCAAGAGTTTATTCCTAATTGTGTTTACATTTGCGCACCAGTTGTGTCCCCACAATAGACGATTACAATACAGTGTGTCATTGATTAGACATGGGCCTCCTACAAATACACACATGCATTGTTGTTCACACACCTGTGACGCTGACACTGCGGGAAAAGAGGTGGGCTTCTGCTGGTCAAGGCTGTGTCCCAGTCACCCTCCCCTCACCCTCCTCTTTATGCCTTCAGGGGACTCCGGTTTCACAAAGCTCCCCCACTCCAAAACCATAAGAACATCATGGCCCTCGTGAGCTTATGAACCCCCTAAAAAACGTGCCACTTGCCCGCCTGCTCTCCTCCACAGCTGCCTTCACGCACCCCTTACTCACGCCTCATCCTCAAGCTGCGAGCACGGGGGAGGTTATGGTTTGAGGCTCATGATGGGATGCAAGTAGCTAAAATAAACCTTTGATTTTGTCCTCTTTTCCATCTTGAAATGATAAGACATCCCAAAGGGGCCACATGTGCACTATCTGACCATGGTGCAGCTCTTGAATATGTATTGTTCTTTGTACTGCAGCGCTTAAAGTTAGTGCAGGGTGTAAACTGAGAACTAAAGTGGATTTGGGGTGTGCGGTTGAGGTCTGTGGAGGCGGGGGTGGCGGGTAGATTAGATTGAGGTAACGTCTGTTCCTGGAGGGGGTGGAAATGCTGGGAGCTCTGCCAAGCACAGGTGTAGAGCAACTACAGCAGCAGTGACAGAGGTGGTGGGGGGCAAACAGCAGGGGCATTGTTTCCACATACACACATACAGGGAAACAAGTGTGGCTCAGGCCAGCGTATGTGAAAACAGGACATTGGCTCGTCTGTTTGTCTTATAAGCTGCACAGCCCAGAACTTCCATCTCCTCCAAATAGTGCCCTCCCCCACCCACCTCAGCCTCAGCACCTGATCCCTTTGGTTTTCTCTATATTCAGGAGCTGGCTTGAGAAATAGTTCCATGTAACTTGTCACATTTATGGCTACTTTCGATTTAATTCAATTGTATTCATAAAGCATCAAATGGAACCGAATCACCTCAAGGTGCTTTATTGTGTAAGGCAAAGAACGTACAATAACACAGCAAACCCCAACTATTAGACGACTCGTTATGAGCAAGCACTTGGCGACAGTGGGAAAGAAAAACTCATTTTTAACAGCACCAGGGTCGTAGAGAAAATGAGCGAAGAAGAAACGTCAAGCCGTTTGTACCTGGGCTTTGCGTGGATAGTTTGGATGTTAAGGAAAGACAATGATCACTACGAATTTTAAGCTATACAACCCCAAACAATGCGCAACAGCCCGAAAGCACTCAGCACTAATAGCTGTCATCAGTCACTGTAAATGCCAAACACATGGCAGCTGGATTTTTACACATCAACATACAAGGCAGACATCTGTAAGATCTGTGTATATATTACATATACAAATGTGAGTATGCAGTAATGGGTAAATGTTGGTGGTAATGTCCACTTGATGCGTGTATTGAGGTGAGAAGCTGGGAGGCCCGGGGGCATGTGTGACCGATATGTGTTGATGTGTAATGTAAACCACCCATGTGTGGCTGGTTTCACTGTGGTCATTTGTATTTCAAACAGCTAAAGAGGCCACTGCTGCGGGGAAATGTTCAGGGACAGCTGATGCTCAGATTAATCTCCGGTTCTTTCAGAGTTTAGTCTGTGATTGCTTTTATCGTCTACTTTTCCCATTTTGTTTTCTTTTTTGGGTTTGTGTATGTTTGCTAGTCATGTGCTAAAACTACTCAGATTGAATGTTGCTGATTAAAGGGACCCTCTGCTGAGTTTCTTAAAGGTGGAGGAACTTACAAGAGATTCCTTCAAAATAAAGTCAAAGCCAGGCATCCTGATACTGCTCTTTAGTATGGGTTAATTTTAAACACACACACACACACTACAACACACACAGACATTATTACAGTGCCACGGTGCATCCAGTAGCATCTTCCTCTTGTACTGAATTCACATCATAGAGACCATAATGACAAGATTCTAATTGCTTGCTTTGCAAAAAATAAAGTTCAGTACAAAAATAGCTGCAAAGTCACTGCATTGATGTCAACTCTGATATTAAAGGAGCAGCACAGTTTTATAGCTGGCTTACATCTAGGCTGGCATCTACAGTCCTCTAAAAAACCAAGTATACCGGATGATTCGATAGCTTTTGGACACACCTTTTAGTTGGGTTTAAACCTGCATTTTGACTGGGTCACTGTAACTCCTTGATTTGTAAAATTTTTTTTTTTTTCATTCATCCGGTTGTAGATTTGTTCCTATGCTTTGATAGTTGTCCTGTTGTATGACCCAGTTTGGTACAAGCTTTAGTTGTTGGTCAGGCCTCGGGAGTTCATGGTTGATTAAATGCCTGCAAGGTGTCCAAACAACATCTAAATCATTACTCCTCCACCACCAAAGTTGATACAGGGTGTTAGAGTTTCTTTGTCAAACAAGTCGCTGTGCGTTATAACCAAATATCTCTACTTGTCTGTCCAAAGGAAAAAGTTCTTTCAAAGGATGCATGTTTGGAAACTATGCTGCCCTTCCACACAAGCCATGCTTTTTCAGTTGTTTTTCCCCACTGTGATGAGCTTAAATATTTAGGATTTTTTTTTTTTTTTCCAGTTTCTCTGACCTAGGGGTGAATTTGCTGGGACGTCCACTCCTGTGAAGATTGTTGCATTGTGTAAACACACACCTGTATTCTCTGCTTTTCTAGAGGTGGTCACACTCTTCTATAGTCAGTTAGTCGAGTGCATTTGATTAGCAACACCTGGTGCTCTAAATTCCTGTGAAAGCACCAAGGACGTACTTAGTTTTTAACAGACTTCATAGAGCCGTGTGAAAACTATTTTATTTTTTTAGATGACTATACCTCAAATGTGAAACACAATTATTTGAGCGTAATTTATCTTTATATGGTGTGATACACAGCCAGGAACCGGGGTATCAGTCTTGAAATAATGCAGGAATGTTCCCAAGCCGACATGGAATCAAACCACACAGTTCTCCAAATACATGGCATGAACCCAGCATCAGACCACTGAGTCATCCAAGGGAAATGACAAAATATGCAATTGCAGCAGGCTTTTATGACTTGAAAGACTTGAAATTCTTGTATCCCAAGACAAAATATACTCCATCTCCAACAAGGTCCCCTACAGTTTTTGTCCACAGTGGGCTTTTGAATGTGATTTATGACTGAAGTTGATCCATTTATTTATTAAATGTTTTTCTTGACCACAGTACCCGAGTTTAAATGTAAAGCTTGAACTCTAACGTGTGAGAAAATAAACCGACATGATAACAAAATCACAATTATTCAACGATTTTACCAAATCTTCCTTCAAGTAACTTTAAGTAAAGAGAAC